CGCCCCCTCGGGCCGCCTTTTACCTGAGCCCCGGCCACGCCGCGGGCTCCGAGCCCGCCTCGGCGGGAAATAAGGGGAGCTCCGTAGGCAGAGGGGACACGGGGGACCGGGAAGGGCTTCCCGCGGGGAGGAGCGGGGCCGCAGGCCAAGGCCGTCCCCCTCCAGCGTTGCCAGGTGCAGGGAAAGGGCTACGCGCAAACATGAGGGCCCGCTCGGAACAGCGCAAAGGAGGTTTTATTCAGAATTAGTATGAAACAAGTGCAAAATTTAACTTATGCTGTTCTTATGGCACAGATGTTAAAACATTATGGTAATATCCCCATTTTCACACTGATACAAAAAACAATACAAAATGACCCCTTTCCCACCTATTCAGTATAAACTTTGGTTCAACATCAGGTAACGCTGTATGTATGTCCTTACAGCACAGCCAAACATAAACAGAGATCAAGGCCAATTCTTCACTGCCGTGCAAAAGTTATTCCTAAGAGTAGAAACTCTGCATAGGATCACACTACAAAAATAGAACTCGGGATAAGAATTTCTCATAGGCAGTTTGATTTTTTATTTGAGTCCTCATCCAGTCAGCGCAAGAGTTTTTCTGAGGCTTTTACCCACCGAGGTCACCGCAAGCGATGGGCTGCACACAACTCGCTTTGCAGAACAGCACGTATCAGAAAGCTCCTCACTACAGGGAAATAAGAGGGCCAATACTTCCAGTCTCCACTTCTAATCCTGCCTTCTTCCGTAACACTAAATATCACTGTGGCTTCTGAAAGTGTAAAGTAGTAACTCTGGGCAGAACTCAGAATAAACAGTTAACATTTTTGGTGCAATTTTAAATATGGCCAGAAAAGAGCACATTGCATTGCTATGTATAAATTTACATTTCATAATCCTTCTGGAATAGATACTGAAAACATACATTACTTCTGTTGCATTGCTGAATTGTTCCCAAAGTGCATGAGATGGCAGCTTGATTAAGTATGTGATTAGTAATGAATGTTTAATATGATGAAAAGTCTTTTAGATAACTTAAAAGTAACCATTCAAGAAAATAAACAGCCTCAACAAAAAAAAAAAAAGCCTACACTGGGTTTAGGACAAGCAGTAACAATTTTTTTTTTAAAAAAGAATAAAATTAATTTACAACATTAGTTTATCAAGAAAAATGTACATTTTATATCTATATACTTTACAAGATGCTCCAGATCTGCTATGTATTTCTATGGGAGGTATATATTACAGAATTATTTGGCTGCATTATAAGGCAATCAGTGAAAAACACCTTGTCCTACAGGAAACCATTCATAGGTGAGATCCAATCACATGATTATTTGCAGACAATTCCAAACGTTTCTGCTGACAGCAACCAAACTATGCCGTATCATCTTTATTAAAATGTAAAGAAATGTGCTTAAAAGAGAAAGGCGTAAACTTGTATCCTCCACCAGAATAGAATTTGTTCTGAAATTCCACCCTGAAACGAGACCAAAAAAAAAAACGGTATCTGTGTATTAATCCAAAATGACCAGCTGTCAAGGGATAGAACTGTGCAACACAGAGGCTGAGCAAAACCAATCCTAATCCTGTCACTTATGCTTTCTGTGCAGCTATTTAACCTTCCTATCACAGTCCCAGGCAAATTTCATGTTTCTCAAGAGACCCAAACACTGACTGACATTGCGCTGTAATGGCTCATTTCTCACTTCTGTCTTACTAATTTGTTTTCGAGTTAGTTGCAGTTAATTGTTTTGCAAATATACAATATCATGAGGACAATACTCTGTAATCCATATAGGTCTGCCTCATGTGTTTATATACTATACATCTGCCTTTTCTTACACTGTAAATTTCATCAGGTTTCAAACTAAATACTCTCTGAATACACTTGAATGTGCAGAGCTCACGATATTAAGATTACGAAAGGATTAAAATACTTAAGGGTTGTCAGGCCCACTTTAGCAAAAGTTTTGCTCGCTAATATAAATGTTCTGTGGAACAAATAAATAAAATAGACTGAAGCCATTCAGCGATACAACCAGGCTGAAATTAAAAATACTTACCCACGTTACTAATATTCTACCGTATGAAAAGCTGCAATATTATAAATCAGATGGACTCATACTTTGTCAACTCTGAATGTCGTAGAGGTTAATATGCATCATAAGCCAATATAATATTTGAATTTACTGAAAATATTCCAGAGGAACAATCACATTCAACTAACAAGCCATTTATTTAATGTGATTAGATAAATCTATTACAGTAGCATTAGGCTGTTGAATTTTACACTTTTCTTTTTAATAAGGCACCTAATCTTTCGATACAAAAATTCCTCTTAGACAAGCCAGTATATGCTGAAGTGGTATAAAGAAAAAATGAAGAGTTAAAACTTACCAGTGAAGTCGTATAGCATGGAGAAAAGCAGAAAGCCCCTCCATGACCAAAAGAATAAAAACTGTCAGCACAGCAAAAAGGGCTAGAACAGGGACTAGCAGCAAGACACCATACGTCGTATCCACACGAAGACCCACTCTCATCACCATTTGCCACAGAACTTCCGACAACTCTATCAAAAAAAAGAAGTTTTCATAATTAATGTTGATACTGCATACATTCACCCAGCGAGCTACTCTAACTGACCTGTATTCTAGTTTAAACAGTATTATAGGATCTGCTGAACATGGGAACTATAAGCACCGCCCACCTCCAGTTAGTTGCCCCCCTCTCCCTCCCCCAAAATATTTAACGGTATCTCAGTTTCAAATTGATGTCAACTGATGTCAACATTTTACACCATGATGCTAAGACTTTAGTAAGTGCCTAATACCTTCCAAATGGGTCAATCAATGGAAAACAGGAAATGGTACTGTGACTACTGATACACTATTATGTGAGGTAACACTGTGCTCAGATAATCGGCCTCTTTACAACACAGAGCAATCAATGAAGAAAATTCCTAGATTCTAAACAATAAGTCACAATTTTAGTTTGGGGGCTTTCCATAGATCATGATTAGTTTAAACAGGGAATTTTTTTAAATTAAGAAAAAGATAATTTCGTATTAGTATCACTTCAACAGGCCAGCCCCCCTCTAACCAGCATTAAAAATCAAGACAGATAAAAAAAAAAAAAAAACCCACAACCAAAAAAAACCCCACTTACGTGCATGGGCAAGACTTAATGCCCAGAGTCTCAGATATGAGGCTGTATTAGAAATACATCCTAGACAGTATTCAATTGTATGAATTGCTTGATTCATAAAAACATCTGCAAAATTAAGCTAAAATACAAAAATACGTTTGTATCTATTTAAACAACATAGTATAGCATGAGAAAACAAAAACATTGATCTGCAAAGCTTAATATACATGGAAGAAAAATTCCATTAAAGGGTAATACATTGATCTCATATCAAGTAAAAAAAATCTGCTATGTTTAAGATCCTTATTACAGAGACAACATTAAAAAAAAATCATGCTATAGTTTTCCAGTTAGTTTCCCAATTACTTTGTTGATAGATAAAAATGAATGCAATTTATGTTTTCCACAAGGAATATGATCCTAGTACTTGAAAACTCTAAGTAGTAAAACCAGTCATGGTTCTAATTCCCATTCTATTGATGTCATAAGTTTACAATGTCAATTTTTGCATCTTTAAAGCCAGGATTATTAGCAATGCTAGTGATAGACAAATAACTACGTTAATACTGTAAACTCTAAATATACATACTTGTTGCTAACGAAGAGTTCCAAAACTAATATTACTGCAAGTTTCAACACTTACTTTGCATGGAACTATGACACATTTTATTTAAGCAAACAATTCTTGTACCTTCTATACATAAGAAGCAATAGTCTACTACCCCAGTGAAGCAAGTACTATACATAGTCTGTGCACTAGGAAACTGAAGCACTTTTTTGTCTTTCAATTCACATGAAATCAGTGGAATCAGTCAAGACCTTTAAAAATTTGGCCAAACTAAATTTGGCCAAGCAGCAATAGCTGGGGACTAGGAATGCAGCTCATGTCTCCCAACCCCCATTAGCAATAATCCTCATCACAAAATGTAATTTGCAGACATAAAAAGACTTTTGTCTGGATGAAAAGACAAGATTAATTAACAGGAAGCTGGGCAGTTGTCCTCTTGCCTTAATTTTAGGAATCCATAAAACCATACAAAACCCAGGATTTTTATCCCACTCTTCAATTTCAGAAGAACTATGCAAAGTCTAGAGATGCAAATAAAGCACTCTTCCTGTTCTCCACTACAGATAGATTGTGGTTTACTGTAGCAATCTGAATATACCAAGGAATAATGATAAAATAGCAACAAATAAAAATAAGTAAATTGTATTCAGGCATCAAGGTCTTTGTAAAGATTCAGCCGATTTTCTTGAAAACTTCTAGGGACTTGGTGTACAGGTTATATTCTTGACCTTCCACTTCTAATTTGCTTTTAAGGACATACAAACTAGAGATTAAGTAAAAACATTACCTCCTCTCCATCCCCTTCTCTGTGCCCACTGTATGAATGACTGCTTCCTTCTTCTACATCATGAGATCTCAGCAGAGAAAGTTCTTCTTCACTTTCTTTTCGAATTAGCTTGTAGCCACTCTGCCAAATGGAAACATATCGTGTCTTTAAGTGGACTGCCAGTGTCATTTTTTAAATTTATTTAAAGTAGTTACAGGCAAAGGCAAAAGGAGAGCTAGAGGAACAAAGCACTACTATGTGTTACAGTGAAAAACTTTCCAAGTTGAGTAGAAATATCCAGTAAGGACATTACTCTACATGCAATACAACACCAGCTGAATTCTTCTATACTGAAGAAATGTGTAAGTGTCTTTCAATACTTACCCTGTACATTCTAATGCCTCGGCCTCCGCTGTGCAACCAATATAAATAAAGTGGTTTACCAAAAAGCATTACAGGAACAGAAAGAAAAGCAATACTAAGTAAAAACCTCTGTAGAGCAACCTGTTGGGGGGGAGGGAAGAAAGAAAATGAGATTAGATCACAAAATTAAAAGTAGGAAAAGCCTTCCCATTTTCCTTTAAAGGCCTGTTTAAGCATAAGAAAGGCACTACTGATTTCAGAGGGCACGTACTCCAAATTGAACATGCAGAGAAGTATTTTACTTAACCAGGCCCTTAAACTGGGTTACAGACACCCATCATCTTCAGAACTAGGTTCTAGATTAAGGCATTACTGATACTCAGTTCAGTAAGATTATTTACAGCACATAGAAAAGCATCAAAATTACAAGCAGGCGAGACTGTTCTCTAGCCTTAATTTTAACCTGGGAGATTTTGTCCTAGAAACATACATTTTTCACAAGTCGCTACGTAAAATCTTACAACCAATTAAAGAGTAAATATGTTATTTAATCATAATGTTTATTCAATTTCCTCTTAGTCTGACACATTCCCCTTCCTAGGGGAACACTCAGCCATCAGCCTTTCATGACTGGTAAAATGTTATCTGCATAGGGAACACCAGGATCTTCAGAAGCTCCTAAGAACACTACTAACCTGTCCGGTGTAGAAGACCTCTGTTTCACCACCAGGAAACAGGAACATGTTAATAAATTGAATCAGAATACTAGGAGCAGATGTAGAGTCCTCTGCAGAGTACGCTAACCATTTAAAGATGATCATAAACACAAGGTAGCCAAAGATGCACATCATGAATAAAAGTTCAGGAAGAAAAACCAAATAAATATTATACTTCTTCTTGAAATGCCTAAAAGATAAAAATGGGGAAAAAATGAAAAGTAAGTTTTACAAAGAAAGATCAAGATAAATACATGGCTCAAACATGTTTTCAATAAAACAGAACAGTACCCAGCACTTTTAAAGAGCAAGACTGAAATTAGAATCCAGAACTGATTTCTTCATATTCAGTGAAATTTTAATCAGATATTTCAGTGGAAATCAAGACCATAAGAGGCATGTATTTCTATTTAGCAACAAAAAGTGAAACAAAATCTTGCATTACTCAATGTCTTCAGATTTTTTGGCATAATACTGATCCACCATCTTATGTATGTGACGGAAGACCTCTCTGTTACTGTCTTTTTTTAAGAACAGTTTTCACAATTACGATTATTCTGTTTTTAAAAAAATCATTCCAGTTTCCCTTACCAGATTAACTCTCATAATTCAAGACATGACAAAAACTATAATGTTAATATTATCTTAACTTCTTATACTTACAAGTGGTTAAATACCCCCAAGACAACTCCAAATGTCATGTGAGTTACTCCAAAAATCACAGACATTTTCATTTTGAAAGAATTTAAAAAACTGAGACGGTTGCTTGCCAAATTCCAGATCTGAAGAAGAGAAGACAAAATCAGCATTAAAGAACAGTGTAATAGAAGAAATAAAACAGTATCCTTTCCCTATTGGAGACCAGAATTGTACCTCAAATGGGGATCATAACTGAAATTTGAGTTTTACGAAAATAGCTAAATCTTTGACTTTAAGGGAAAAGCTCTTTTTGAATGGAGAATGCAAGCAGAAATGTATTTTTTCCATAGTATGTTTATCTTCCTAATACACATACCAGAATCTAATTTACAAATGACTGATCATCACAAATGGATAATTTAAAAGCATAAAACTAACCGGATCAATTCCAAAGGGATAAGCTCCATTGTATACACCAGTAACATTTGGATCCAGTGTTAAAAATTTATTAGACTTCAGATCCTCGAGACTGCAGAGAAAGAAAACCACAATCAGATCTCACATTGTTTAAACATAGTGACAACATATACTTTCAGTTCTGCAGGACACTACTCCTGCTTTCCTTTATATGACTAGCTCACCCACTGTCAGTCTTTAAAAGAAGAATAAAAAGATTTCTAAGCACAGAAGGCCTGGCTAATAAAAACAATAGCAAAATTTAAAAAAAAAAGTTCTAGAAACACACAATCTAGGCTTAATTCGCACTAACTGTCTTTGAAAGGAAAATTTCTGGATTTTATTCCTCATTTCCCTAGAATGGAAAGTTTCATTTAAAAAGCTCACAATTTGCTTTTATAGAAAATTCACGAACAAACACCCAAAGAATAATTGGTATCTTTTTTCCCTTTTGCATTTAGATGAGTTTCCACTCTAACTTCATGTAGTTTTTAATTAACACAGCACTCACAACCCATTCGCATTTTAACCAAAGTCAGAGGTTTTGACTCCACTACTTTAAGCCACGTCCTGTTTTTGAGGCAAAATGAGATGCAAGCTGTGAATATTTAAATACCAAAGGGCCATGACACCTCAAAACAATGTTATCCCACTTTGTGAAAAAGTAGGTTTGACAATTCACATAGCCTAGTTTTTTCTTTTTTTTACTATCAAGAAAAGTTGTGCAATGATTGCTAGGTAATTAATTTATTTCATTAATTGTTAATTTCTTTACAGTAGATGCTAATGCTGCTTGGCTATTCATTCCAGAAGCATGACCTAGGACAAAACAAGCCCTGAGTTTTCTATTCCTCTCAAAATCTGATATATTATATTCAGAAACCTCTCCTGGAAAATACAGTAATTGGAGACAAATTAAAACCATTAGCATAAAGACAAACCATAACACAGGAGGCACTACGCTTTTTATGAATAAAAAGAATACACGACAAGACAAAGTCCTAGTGCCTTCTAGGCTAAAATTGTTAGGATTTTACAATACTACTGAAGTCTCCAGCTATTCATAAGAACACCTTTGTAAGACCACGAAAAAGATACAAAACACACCTAAGAAGGTTTAGAGACTGAATAAACCCTAGAAGTATCACCTCATAAAATTAGGTGCAAGTTCTTACTACCAATAAAAAGATACTATGCCAGCTGCAGTTTTTAATCACTAAAAGTTATTAGCTAACATATAGCATTAGGGTATTGCAACAGAATTTGTTCCAGAAGACTGACTGTCATCTATAACTGATGATAATATTCTGGAAAATGTTCCAGGTGACTGAGGACATGTAAATCCAGTAAAGCAGCACTGATAAATACGAGATTAACCTGATAGATTGACTGAATTAAATATAATCAAATTCTAATAGTGGTTTTGCAAGACATTGTGTTCTCTGTGGATTTCCCAATTTAAGATAATAAGCAATTTGATTTTTGTTTTTAAGCAACTATTACTGCCTTTTTTATTTTAAGCATAGATGTATCACTTAGCCCTTAGTGCACTAACACCTACTACCTTAACAACTAGATTTTGCTAGATTTCACTACATTTAACTACCTACTCTCAATAAAAGGACAGTTAGAACGGGTGAGCAAAAGGGTTAAACTGTTGCAGGAAGTACATTTTTGTTTTAATGGTATAGCAAACAGAAGCATACTACTCACCTCCAAACCTTCTGTTCAAACATAGCTGAAACATTCCATCCAGAACCAAATATATTTAATGACTTTGAAAAACAGTCATTATAGATCAGTCCAGTATATACAGAAAACAGACCCATTAATAAAATAACATATCGGCCTTCAAATAACATTTTCATTATCTGTAAGTATTGGAAAAAAGAAAAAATAGAGAACATCATCCGCTATGCGAACAATTGTTATCTACACATTTTTAAAACAAACACATTTTTGGCCATACCAAGACTTCCAAAAACTAAAAATTCTTGTGAATAGTCATTAAGGAATATGAAGAAACCTACAGCTAACCAAGATATAACACAGAGAATTTTGCTTTAGGCATGTGAATATGCAATTTACAAATGGCAGTCACCAAATGGGTGCAGTTTGTCAACCCAAATTCACAGCTTTATGTCAAGTAATGCATATTTCCTAATATGCATTAGGAAACAGAGCTAGCAGCAAGAAGTATATTCTGAAAGACAATTGTGGTTTAAATTGAATACAGAGATTTGAAGTCTCCATGCAAGCTCCCATCACACAAACTGAGACTTCTCTCATTGGCATCGTTACACTAACGAATAGTCTTTTTAAACCACATTTCCTTCCCGGGACTAGTTTTCAAGAAGTTAGTCATTTGCAGCCATTCTTAATTAAACATAATTCTAATAAGAGATGCACATGTTCCTGCATTCCAACCCCATATCATTAAAAAAATAATTAAGTTTAATAAATTTCAAACTACAACTCCTTTTCAGAAACAATAAAAGAAGATGGAACTTGAAAAATCATTTTCTCCTCACGTTAGTCACTGTAACCACATTCTGTAAAACACACACATCACTAAGTAGCCCTAGCAGAAGGAAAGACAAACCCAAAAGTATCAACTAATTTTTGTCAGTCTTTCATTCCACCTTGATTATTTCTGCCCTTTCAAAAAAAATGAATAGTTTGTTAAGATATCACATTAATCTCAAGGAATATGGCAACTTTGTAAACAGAGAAAATCCTGAAACAAATGGAAAAAAAATCCAGTCTAATACATGTGCAACAAATAGTACTTTTCAGAAACATAGTAACTATTCAATTGAAGTTATCTTGCTGGATGGGGAGTAAATTATTTGTAATTCCTTTTACCTCATCTTGTGATCTTTGTAATCTAGGGTGGTTTTCATACAGTATTGTCAGGAGTGCAAATATGAACATTAGTAGACCATGCCCAAAGTCTCCAAACATAACCGCAAACAAGAAGGGAAAAGTGATGATGGTATACAGCGCTGAAATGACAACGTAACAGATTTCAGGCACACAGCGCAATAGATGATATTGCTATCTGAATTATGCCTAAGCAATTCAACTACTTTAACCTCTCAAATTATTTTCAAGTTTGAAAGACATTTCACCCCCTGATAATAGACCTTTCCCCCACACTATAAATTTAACTCAGTTTAAAGTTCGCTTATGTACATCCCTTAGTAATGACAACTCTGCAGTTGAGCATTAGTTGACAATTCTGAGGATAATAATATGAGCCCAGGAAATAAAACCCAAACAAGCAGTTCTTCCTCCGTGGCTATTTTGGCTCTGTACTATAATGTACATTCTCCTGTACAGCATGACATAGTCAACATAGCTGCAAAAATACATAAAGACATTAAACTAACTGTACAACAAGCTGTATTTTTTCAAGTGATGAGCTCCATGCTTCAGTAAGATCAACAGCCATTACCAAAGTTTTTTTTTTTTTTCCCCCCTAAATATCTTAGCCAAGGTAAAGCATATAAAGAAACATTATACGGCTACCATCAGTATGTCTAATGCTAATATGACTCAGCAAAATCAAATCCCATCTTACTGCTTGGAGCACCATTTGTACTTCTGATGAGCTATTGAAATTTTAAAACAGCTATTAATAAGCAGTGTGGTTGTCACCATTTTGCCTTTACTAGTGTCCAATCCAGCAAGGTATTTAAACACATTACAAGGCGAGCAGTAATGACAGCACAGCTCACAGTTTGGATTTCAGAAGGACCAACCTGGATTAACTTCTCCGTAGTTTCCAACTCCATAAGCATCAACAATGTTTTGGAACCCTGAGGTGAATTTATTGGTACGTATCAAAGTTGGAGGAGGTTGTGTTGTTGGGATGGTATTCATGAACGAAGAAATCGCAGCTCCACTCTTCCTCTAATTGCAGACAGAAAGAAGATACATTTATATAAAAACCTCAGTTGATGATTAATCTAATCAAAGTGAAAAAATTTCCTCTATCAGCAGTTTCACTGATCCTGAAACATCCCTAAATTAAGCCTCAAGTTTAACATTTATCCATTTGTACTTTCTTAAAAAAAATACATTAATCTGTTCTTCTAAAAACACTAATTATGTACAGTGTTCTAATCATTATTTTATGTGAAATATCAGATGAGAATCATCAGTCAATATTATAAAACACAGACTTGTTACTAAAAATTCCCTCTTGTGAAACAAAAAGACGGAGCTGCACTCAACCCAACTAACACAAGGGAATTAGCACCTTCTACTTGACTGCAAATAGCGTTGTGAGCCCAGTCAGACTGGGTCCAACACAGAAGTTCTTATTCAAGAAAACAAACAAACAAAAAACAAAAACCCGTAATACTAAAAGGTTCTGCTTATAAAGAAATTGTTTGATATGAGTTCACAGAGACCCAGACTTGCCTGTGCTGACTTTTAGCCTATTTTAAATAATTATTTTCTTTCCTTATCTGTATAGTTAGTGTAAGTCAAAAGTTTTAACATAAGTGAGCATTCAGTTGACTTACTGAACCTTCCTCCAACGCGTGGCGCAAATTTTGCAGATCAGCCACTGGACACCAAACCTCAGCGATTAAACATTTATTTGTGACATCAAAACTGCACAGGTTAAGTACGTGATAAATGGCTTTCATCTTTTTCACTTGGATAACCCATGTATAGATGGATTCAGATGCTTTACACAAGACTTGGCGTAAGTAATCCTCAGTTTTATGCAGCACCTTTGTCCAAGAAAAAAACAAAAAGATTTCACTGAAAATGTAACAGTTAACCACAGTAAAGGCACTTATTTGTCCAATGCTGGATCATATTTGTAGGAGGCCACACTAACCACTGCTTAAAATGGAAGGCAATGCAAAATGCCCTGAAGTTTAATAGATACATGCAACACGAGACCAGGGACACGACGTACAGTCATGTTCAGATCCAAAGCTGTACGTATTTTAGAAACATATTCATGTATTTAATGCTGTGATTCGTCAAATAATTTCCTATGGTGTAATAACTACAGCAAAGGGAATACTGTTATTTACTCACAGTATGAAGATCCTGAATACGAATATTTAGTCCTTCAACAACTGCCCTGCGCTCCTCCATGGTACTTGGATAGGGATATACATGACAGTGATAGCTACAGAAAAACAGAAGTTTATGTTAAATAACCAAACTAAAACAAAACAAATCACCCAACCCCATGCCCTAGTCAAATCTGCAACACACCATTTAATAACCACAGAACAGATTCAACTGAGGGAGTCAGTATTTTGTCTGTACTTAATAAGGACTGCAGATAAAATGACTTACACATTTATTTGTATATTGCATAATTATAAAGCTAGATGCAATGGGGGGGGTGGCGGAGGAACAAATTTAACTTCAAAAACCTTGCCTAAAAATCAACACTTACAAGGAAGGGGAGCAGGGGAAAAACTAACAAGAAAATAACCCAGGTATAAAGAAATCATATATGTTAGTTTTACTTCTTACCAATCACAAATCTTCTTAACTTTCTGGCCAATTTGTTCACCCCAATAGGACACTAAAAAACCAAACCATTTTGTGGTTTCGCCCTAAAAAACAAAAAAAATTAAGTTGATGAAGTTTGTTTTTAACCAACTCCTCCACTGTAAAATAATTATAGAGCAAAATAACGAATCTGAGTAATTAGAAAAAGCTGTGTTAGTAGCATTAACCTTCCACCATTTTAGTGAAGATCAAAAAAATAAAATTCAAGTGTGCCAATATCTCTCTTTTTTTGGTATATTAGAGAAAAACAGTAAAAGTTTTCAGGGAAAATAAAAGAGGTATTATATTTTACCACCTCAAAATTATTAGTAACAAAAAAGTCCTAAAAAATTAAAATGTTACAAATTAGAATCAAAGCAAAATTTAAAAGTGACAGACTAGGCAGCCATAATTGCTGATTTGCAAAAAGTGAATTTTATATGTTCAGAGAAAAAACTTTGTAGAAGACCAACTATACTCCAGATTTTTTCCCTTAACTACTGAATTAACAAATAAAATTACTATTAAAAGTTAGTGCACTGTACAGACCCAGTTAATAAATATCCAAGCAGCCATTTATGCCACATATTTTGATCAAGGTAGCCAATCATAAAGTCACTACTATTCCACAATAAAGTTCTGCACTCATCAAGCTGAACCATGATAAATTAATTGCCACTCCTATAGTTATGGTGCTATCAAGACTTCTAATTTTAAAGTCTTACAAGTTCTCATACTTTAAAATAGTTTTCCCTCCAAGGGCACTGGGAAATCATTTACGTTCATTGCAGGCAGACCTGAGTAGCAATTCTTTCAAGTCTTCTGTAAAGTACAAACAAAATAAACTGATAGTTACAATGTTTACTCACTGTATCTGGATCTTCCAGACATTCATCCAACTCTGCATAGGTAAGAATAGTATATCCCTTACAGACTCTCCACAGCATTTTTTCAAATGCTTCAACTTTTGCTATGTGAACTAACCCAGATATGAATCTATGCAAAAAGAAAAATTTGAAAAATAAGCTAAAATCCACAAGAAAAATTAAATACTTAGAGTACATCATCACTCAGGATCACACAGTCAAAACAATTTAACATCTCCCATCTCTAGAGAAGGAAGCGTCACCCTAAACAGGAAGTAACTGGTATATAAAATAGACTCAATTTCTATGTGAAAACAAACAGGCTGTAAGCCTAAGCACACAACTAGAATTATATTTGACATCGTTTCCTTCTGTGATAGTAAGGTTCTTAATTTTTTCTTGGTAAGATACCCTCTCGTAATGGTGTTGTAGAAAGCAGTACCCGTACATCATTTTAAAGGCAAGTAGGCAATACCATTAATAATGTTACATATACAACTGACACTGTCAAGTGATTAAAACACTCTGTGTCTATCCTAGAAAAACAGAGTAGAAAAAAGTACTGATTCAGAGATTTTCCTTAACACACATACTTGGTTTGATGGAAGATTTGTGACAGTTTTTTTGGCACTGTCCTACTTATCTCTTCAAATAATCCAATTTTGTTACAAAAGTAGATTTGGGCCAGACTCCGACCCTGTCTAAAACTGTTTGGCTCATCTGAAATCACTAGAGTCACACTACATCCCATCTTTTAAGAAAACATCCCATTATTTACAGCAGCTCATCAAGCAGTTTTGAAACAGCACATACTAACAACTTGCCATGTAAGTGGACTGAACCATACCTACCCCAGCTTGGCACCCAGTCTGTGCATACAGTTGTAATCCACTAAAGGCTCATTTTCCACAGATGGAAATTCTTCATAATTTGCATGTAAATGGGATTCATACTAGCAAATAAAAGAAAGATTATTCATAGCTTTCAGGACAAAAAAAATATTTCATTCATTTATTATTCTAAAGAAGAAAAGCCAATTAAGTAAATTATTTGAATAAAAATATAAAACCCTTTCCTGTGTTCAATTCAGACAACAGAAAGATCTTGGGATCTCAAGTGCACTGCTCTTAGCAATTATAGTCAGTGTTGCAAAGGTTAAATGGTAAATTTCTTAGCACAATTTATGCATCAAAATAACACAAATACGCCTTCATTTTGAATTGGCATCAGCAGTAACATTCTAACAATTCAACAGAGAAATCACAAAGCTCCTCTGAGTTCAGGGCTGCATTTTGCTATGCATATGAATACAGCCTAGCACAAGAGGTTGCCAGCCAGGTTCCCTAGGTACTGAGCACAAATAATAATGAACAACGTACAGCGTGTAAAGCCCAACACCAAGTCATGCACTTAACTAGAACTACCAACAGTGTGCAACAAAAATGCCACATGACACACAATCCTCGCCAAACAACATAAGCGGTACCTCAGCTGTTCTCCTGACAAATCTTTGCGTGACCTCTAACATGCCTGTGTATTCTGTCAGTTCAAGCAGGTTTTTCCTCAACTTTTCTTTGTTTTTAGTTACTTCCCTCAATTCTGTCTCCAGCTTCTGCAACTGTTCCTAAAACATGGAGAAAAAAATGACATAGAATCAGTTATACTGTTCTGGAAATCAGGGGAGGATGAATCTTAAGCACATGTTAATTTGCTGCAATAATGGGAGTTTCCCAACTTCTTAATTAACTTAAGCTCCATAGATTTTATTCCTCTGTCTGCCAAAGATTGCTTTGTACTGAGTACACTTGAGCCTCCGCTGGCATCTGTTAAGTCTGCTGTTCTGATCCTTATTTGTGTCCAAGCTAAGTAATGCAGACTTGGGATTAGAACTTCAGATAATACAGGGTACAAGACACTTATCTATTCTATTAATAGAATTACAGCAAAACAGAATGTCATTCAAAATTGTATCTGCATTTTACAAGCTTCTACTTCTAATGTAATACCAGAAAAAGCATTCAGAGAAAATAGCACCATGTTTAGCTACGCAGCCAGCACTGGAACCTGCAGAGCCTTGGGCATATAAAACTCCCACACACCCTAGAAATTTTGGATGCATGAAAAGAGCCTTAGGTAAGTCCCAAAGCAATAAATGAGGCTGAAAGACTGTATCTAGAGGCAACAATTTGCCTGGAACAGTGTAATATGCCAATCCATCAAAATAAAACAGATGACTGCAAAGCCTGTAAGTTAGCTTTGACCCTTTCACAGGAATTTTGTATTAATATCCTCACTGGCAGTCTTTGAAGTAACACTGGCAAAAAGGAAAAAAAAAAAGGACAAAAACAAAAGCAAAGGCTTCTGCTCCCCCTGCCACGCCCCAACAACTTAACTCATAAGTAATAAGATAGCAAGTAATTAAGTATGAAATAAAGTTCCAAGATCCAGAGCTACACCTTTGCCATCTGTGGTGTGCAAAAGTTACCTGGATTTCTAAAATGTGTTTCAGCAAGGGGGCAGGAGGAGCAACATCTCCTTCAGGAAGTGGAATATCCGCTTTTTTAATTTCTTGTACTAAATACCCTGGAGTGAGAAGAAAAACAGAATCGTAAAGGAAACGGTATTGCCTTATACTTCCTAGAATGCTGCATAGTTGACCTTCAGCTGTTATTGATGGTGCTGATCACACTGCAGCATCAGGCCCTAGCTATTTTATTCATTTATTTTAGCAACAACACACACACACACGAGTCTTCAAACAGAATGCAAGGAAAGTGTGAAGACCAGTCCTTCCAGGGAGAAAAAAGAGGGGCTTATGGAGTGCTAGGAATAAAATATATGGAACATTTCTGTCTTGAAAGTTTGCAGAAGTAAGCTATCTTCAGAGCCCTTTGACTGAAATTTTCCAACCACAAGTACTTTTTAAGAAGCTTTTAACATTTCATAGTACCTCTTTGTTGCTGCAAGATACTACTTTCTGCTAATCATGCCATCTGCCAAAAATTGATGTTCTGCTCATTGACCCATGTTTGGAATAACAAGTGTTTAAACAAGGCAGCTTAAGCAACCTTGACAACAAATGCAACTCACGCTGGGCAGGGAGATTGCCAAAATAGCTACTGGGATGCTTTGGCATGACCAGCACATGCCTCTGAGGAGAGATTCCAATAAAAAGAATCCTTCAACGGTAACTTTGATACACCAGAGAAATCTGCATCTTGGTTGTAATGCTCTACATACTCTTCTCTATTCATTAACTGCCATGTGAATACAATTATTAATAACTTGAGGTATTTTTGAGGGTGCTTGGAAGTTCAACAGTATTGAGTTACATAACATGAAAAACAGACTTTATCTTATAGTCAAGGAAATATCCAGAGTAAAGCTTCATTTTCCTAGCAGAGTTTTAAGCAGTCAATACTGAAATTGTCTCAACTAATTATCAGCAACACATTAGCAACTCTTCTTCACCTCTGAGCTTAAAAAAACCCCAACCTATATGTAGCATATACATGTTGTAGTGCTAAAGGAAATTTTACAGCTCACAAAACGGAGAAACCAAGGTCAGTGATAAAACACTGGAACAGGTTGCCCAGAGAGGTTGTGGAGTATCCATATCCAAAATCCCACTGGACACGGTCCTGGACAACTGCTCTAGATGCCCCCGCTTGAGCTGGAGGTTGACTGGATGATCTCAAGAGGTCCCTTCCAACCTAAGCGACTCTGTGATACACTCAAAACTGCTGCAGCATATCAACACAAATTAAGAAATGTATTTGTACGTTCTGACCCAATTCAGTGCTACAGTCAAGTCATCTCCGGCTCCAAAAATCTACATAAAGACTCTACATATGAGTGTATGTATGTGTATTTTTTCATACGTATGAAAATTTTATAAAGATTCTACAGCATTCAGATCATACAAGTCTGGGAAGATTAAAAAAACCTGTAGCTGAAACCTCCACTGTAGTTCCACTCTAGCAACGTAAACTTTAATAATGCCACAGATGAGAAAGGGCAGACATGAAAGTAAAGCTCACCAAGTATTCTTTCCATTTCTTCACACTTCTTTACTTCATTCACAAATTTTCTCTGAAATACACTTACATTTGGGTTAAGCTGAAGGAGAAGAACAAAATGCTTATCAGGTATTTAAAACAGCAACCACCCCTAAAAAACCACAGCTATTTCTGTGACTTCATGGAGACAATTTTGCATGTATTCTACGTGCTCTCCTTCTACAAAGTGCTTCTCAGCTATGAAGATATGAAAACCTAAAAGGATTTAAAAGTTTTCAAATAGCAAGCCTGGTTTTATTAAAGCAGAATTATCAATGTCTTTTGCTAGTTTTACTCAAATAACAAAATAACTAGATCTAATGGAGAAACCATACCTAACCTGATTTCTAGAGTTTTAAAATACTGTTTAACTGTTAACTTCAAATTAGCAAATAAACCTTTCTACAAGCAAATTTTTGCAATGGATTTCCACAGAGTCTATTTGAAATGTTACGTTTCGAAAGAATCTTTTTACATACATCCTCACATTATGAGTGTGCAATGTCTCTGACTACTTATTCGGCTTTTAAATCAGACCCACTAATACATTATTTCTTGAATAAATGGTGTGTCAGATACATTGAACATGTTGATGCCATTCCAGGGAACACCCATGAAATGATTCTTTCAGATTTGTCTCCTCCTGCCTGCCATATTTACTAACTAGCTGTTAATTTCAGTTCTCCCAGCTTTCCTTGCAAAAATTTTGCAACCTTCCCAGAATCCTTGGAAGAAATTCTGAAGTCTCAGTCAGCAAGCAAAGATCATATAATTATGATGAGACAATGCAGAAACAAGGTTAATTATTACCCGACCCAATTTTATGTTAGTCAGGCATGTAGTTTCCTCCAAGGTGAATTGCTCCTCCAGGAACAGACATGTTTTACAAACCAGCCTATAGAACAGCTACGATGTTTCTAATCGATGTGTCAATGGGGTGGACATATCTATTAGCTGTGCACATACACTCAGACTACTAAGTCAGTATGGCTTCACGTAGGTAATGGGCTCTCCCTCGGGATCCTACTGAAAAAAAACGGCAACTTGAAACTATTTCTGTGAAAGAGGTGGGATACAGTCATCCCAAAACACCCCCCCGAGAGTCTAGGGGAGGCTGGAGCTCCACACTGACTTTCCATCACCCAATCTCGCTTTCAGGCAAATGCGATTTAGATATTAGCCAAGTCAGAGTCGGGGAAAGAAGGAAGAGAAGCGGTCTTGGAGTCTTTTGCATCGCACCATCGGAATGAAACCTACACCTTC